TGTTGTAAGTAGTATTGATCTAATATTTAAATATCATTGACCAAGCCAAAGTTGAGAATCCAGCAACCAGGTCACCTCACTTGCTTATTTACTGTAATTCCTTCCTAGTTCCGATGCCATTTCAACGGGGCTACTGATTTGGAATATTTGTCCCTATTTCGTGGCCTCAGGCCAGCACCCAATCTTGCCTTGAGCCTTTACCCTGGGGCCTGGGGGTACTTACTTCTTTGGCACACAGAGCTGTATCTAAGCACCAAGGACAGAGCCCAGAGCTTATCTCTGCTGGTCCTCTTGGGTTTGCCTCGCGGCCTAAGTCAGGAAAAGGAGACGTGAATTGCTGTCAGTTTGTGGAACTATGGGTGCCATCTTGCCTAAAGAGAAATCAGAATGATGGTGACAATGCTGCCAGGAGGCCCAAAGCAAAGGGTTGGCCTTGCTGACCTCTGAAGTCCTTCCAGTGGAGGCTCCAGGTCCCTTTCCCCAGGGTCATGGCCCTGGGCCTCAGCTCCTGTGTGGTGGCTCTACCTTTCTCCTTGCAGACCGAAAGGAAGTCGTTGACTAAAACTCTTCTGGTCTTTGTCACAGTACTTGGATTCCAGATAGTGAGTCCCACCGCTTGTTCTTCTTAGAGTCCGCAGCTCTAGCACCGTGCCTGGCACATATCTGGTAAAATACTTGCTAAGTGAATCCATGAGTTAGAGGCAATTTGTTGGAGGAAGCAAAATCTAGTTCTCTCCAGGAAGTAAGCATATGATAATATGGTTTTATGGTTACGTGGCAATTGTCCGTGGAAAGTGCACATACATTGGTGGATTTCGATAAAGCAGACGGTTGGGTGTGGTCAGAGCTTTGGTATTTTCTTCCATCATCCTCTCAGTCTCTAGGGAGGGCTCTGGCAGGAGCCTTGCTAGGTTGACCTGAAGGCAGTAGGGCAATTTCTGAAGGTCTTCCAGAGCTAGCAAAAGCATTTCATTTCATTCAGAATTATAATCCTCAAATCCAGTTCTCAGCATAACTTCCTGGTGGGAATGGATGTAGGGGGTGGAAAGGTTACCTGAAAGATTTGCTCCCTTGGAAGCTACAAAGATAGTACCTTGGGGTCTCCCCCAGGCCTGTGAAAGCTCCTCAGGCTGAGCTGGGAGGCTGCAGGGTGGTGCACAAAGGCTCAAATCCCCACTTAAGCACAGCTGACAATACCTGGAGGCCCCTCCAGTGCTCCCAGCAGCAGAGGCACTGATGATTCTAATGCTCAGGTGTAAATCTTAGAAAATTAATCACATTGTCATCTCCTTTCTCTATCAGCATGCTTCTTACCTAACGGAGTCCAGCCTCCAGTGGACATGTAATGATGGGAGGGCTTGCTAGGACTCTGGGGAGCCCTGTAGTTTTCTCTGTGATAAATTCTTATGCAGCTTGGTATTGAGACTGAGGCTCTTTGGAAAATGTCCAGAATTTAGCTCAAGGCATCAAGTGTAGGCAGTATCCTTTTTGAAATCTCAGCTACACAGTGAGACTGTGCTGTGCTGGTAACATCAGACCCCAGAATCACCCAAGGTGTCTGAATACCAAGTACCGCAGTGTCAGCAGGGAGGAAAGGCACCAAGGATGGCAGAACTATGTGCCTTCTCAGCACTTTTATCAAGATTCCATGGAAATGCCTATTGACCGGCAAGGCAGGTACAAGCACAGTTATTGCAGCTTTGTTTGTAAGGGGGAAAACTGCAAATAAACTGAATGTCAATCCACAGGAGAATGGCTAAGTGAGCCAAAACACAGATTTAAGATGGGAGAGTATGATTAAGGTAGATGAGTATGTAATGACTTGGAAAGATATAAAAGTTAATTAGTTTTTTTTTCCTTTTTTACAGAAGACTATTTTGTTTATTTATTTTTGCATTACAATTTTAAATACACATATATACCACAATTTTTCATATCTCTGTATATAAGATATGTTGACACCCAATTCAAGTCTTCATACATGTACTTTGGATAATGATGTCCATCACAGTCCACCATCCTTGCTAATCTTACCCTGCCTTCTCTCTTCCCCTCCCACCCCTCTGCCCTATCTAGAATTCATCAATTCCTCCCAGGCTCTCCCTCCCTCCTCCACTATGAGTCAGCCTCCTTATATCAGGGAAAACATTTGGCATTTGTTTTTTTGGGATTGGCTAACTTCACTTAGCATTATCTTCTCCAGTGCCATCCATTTACCTGCAAATGCCATGATTTTGTTCTTTTTTAATGCTGAGTAAAATTCCATTGTGTATATATGCCACATTTTTTTATTCATTCATCCACTGAAGGCATCTAGGTTGGCTCCACAGTTTAGCTATTGTGAATTTTGCTGCTATAAACATTGATGTGGCTGTGTCCCTGTAGTATGCTGTTTTTAAGTCCTTTGGGTATAGAATGAGGAGAGGGATAGCTGGGTCAAATGGTGGTTCCATTCCCAGATTTCCAAGGAATCTCCATATTGCTTTCCAAATTGGCTGCACCAATTTGCTTGGGTACAGTGTGGTACATTTATCAAAAAATAAATAAATAAATATATAAATCTGGAAATCAAGCCAAATATTTTCTAAATGTAAATATATAGTGTGCAAATATATAGTGATTGGTCCTTAAAGACATACACCAAATTGATGATAACTATGGAATTTCTTTAGATGAAAGCAGAATTGAGAAGGGGGAAGTAGGGAAGTCTTTAGTTTTATATCTTTAGATTTTTTTTTCAAAGAAGAGATATGGGCTATTTTACAAAAAGATAAGAAATGTGCTAATCCAAAAAAAACAACAAAGTTGTTTTTTTTTTTTGAGAATGCACAAAGTATCTTTTTATCCCACATCATAATAGTCTAAAAAAGAACCCTATAAAAGAATATTTTTACTCAAAAGTTTTTAGTACTGAAATAATGTATCTAGAACTTAGATACTTTTCACCTATGAGAATACAACAATTGAGAAACTCAAAGTTATCTTATAAGAATAAGACCTACACTGTTAGTGCAGATACAGGTGGGTACAGACTTTTTGAAGGACATTTACCATGGATCAAAATCATAAATACTAGTTCATTTAGCCTAACACATCCACTGCTAGATATTTATCCTACACAGGGCACAAAACAAAAACAAACAAACAAAAACAAACAACAAAAACAACAGATGTTTAAAGACATTCATCATAGCACTGCTTGCAAGAGCAAAAGCCTAGGACTCTTCTAAGGATTAACAAATATGGCTCAGGTCCCAATGAATCAATAGCAGTAAAATGGCTAAGTAGGGATGCTTTTGAGGAGATATCATTTAGGCTCAGAGACTTTGGTGTCGAATAGGGAAGAGGAAATGATGCCCTGAGTCTCTAACCTGGGCAATCAGGCGGGTTGTTAAAGCTTTTACTGAGATGGAGATAACATGGTATTTAAGGAATTTCCTGGGTGGAGATAACTAATCAATATAATTGTGCTCCTGTCCATGAGGAGAATGTGTCTCAATGGAGAGAAATGTAGGGATGAAAATGGGGATGGTTGTCAAGGAGAAAAGAATGGGGGTGATGAGGATTGAAAGGGAGAAACTTTGCTGGGTGCAGTGATGCAGGCCTATAATCCCAGTGGTTTGGGAGGCTGACACATGAGGATGGAGAGTTCAAAGGCAGCCTCAGCAAAAGTGAGGCATTAAGCAACTCAGTGAGACCCTGTCTCTAAATAAAATACAAAATAGGGCCAGGGATGTGGCTCAGTGGTTGAGTGCCGCTTAGTTCAATCCTTGGTGAAAAAAAAAAAAAAAAAAGAAAAGAAAAAAGAAAGGGGGCAGGGGCAGGGCATAGAGTGGTGAGCATAGAGAATTCTAAAATAAGAGGATCAATCAGACACGCATGTTTTCCAAATAAGCATCTGAAAAATTATGTAATTGATGTAACTAAAACTACAGTTTTAGGTGATTGAGGTAGGATTTGAATTCGGTTTCATCTCATTGCAAAACAGTATTCATGAAGACAAAATACCCTTGCCATCATAATGTGTGATTAACCCAAAGAAATTTAATGCAATAAGTCAATAAAACAAAGTTCCATGAAAAGTGAAAAATATCAGCTATCAAGATCTGACAAGTCCCTGGAATTCCTGTCCATCCATAAAATAGGAGTAGTAGTGGTAATCCAAGTTTACTAATGGAGATGGCAATGCATGACGAGTTATCTAATTAGTCATGAAATCTTCCAAAGTAGGTAATTTCAATCCCCATCTTACAGATGAAGAAATAGAGACCTACAGAGATTGAGTGATTTATGTAAGGTCATATAGTTGCTAAGAGACTTGCATTTCTATGCAAGAAACTGATACCTAAAGGCTCTTCAAAATATACTTCCACAGCCAGGCGCTACACATCTGTAATCCCAGTGACCCCAGAGGCTGAGGCAGGAGGATTGCACGTTTGAGGCCTGCCTCACCAACTTAGTGAGGACCTGTTTCAAAATAAAAAATGAAAAGCACTGGGGGTATAAACTCAGTGGTTAAGCACTTCTGGGTTCAGTCCCTAGTTAAAAAAAAAATAAGAAAAGTTTTTCTATGTGCTACATTGTTGCCCTCTGGGGATAATAGTACCTGCCTACCTACCTACCTACCTATAAATTATTTTGAATTTCACCTGGAGAATTCATGAGGCTCAAGAATCTGAAGGTTCTGATGTGGGTGATCCATTGGACCATATTCTGGGAAAAGCAATTTTATTTCTTTTGAGAATAATAAACCATGTCAGCTGTATAGAAATACAATGATAATTATTGTTATTGATTGCTATGAGACTTCTCTTGGAAGGAACAGATCAGTTTCAGTTTCTAAAAACCTGAAAACATTGTGTGCTTGTCTGCATTCAAGGGTGTGGATGGATTTGGGTCTCCTCATTGCCAGCCCTCTGGATAGTTTCCTCACCTACTCGGCTGGAGGCCTCCTGAAAGAATTGCACCAATCACAGGCTTGCTTCTTTCTCATTTCTTAGGCATCAACAAAAAGCAGCTGGGTGTCTGTGGCTGGATCCTGTTTTCCCTCTCTTTCCTGTTGATGATCATTACCTTCCCCATCTCCATATGGATGTGCTTGAAGGTAATACCCTGGGAATTAAATGGGGCTCTCCATATTAGCCAGCAAACCATTAAGACTAAATGCTGTCCCTTAACCTCTTAGATCATTAAGGAGTACGAGCGTGCTGTGGTATTCCGACTGGGACGCATCCAAGCCGACAAAGCCAAGGGACCAGGTATGACACAGTGGCTACTCCTGTTGTGGATCACGGGCATCCCTTACTTCTGCTGCCACCACCACTATTTTTCCTGGTGGCACGGACTGGGAGTCAAAGCAAAATCTCAGGAAACTGGAGTTCTTCTGTATAATAGAAGGATGTGCCCTCCTGGGAGTGGCCACCAGTTTGAGAGATTAGAAATCTGGATCTGTTTCCAAACTCTTCCCCTGAGAGGGGCTGTGAATGTGAGCCAAGTTGGTGGTTATGTCCCTGGACACGGCTTACCTGGGCCAATAAGAGCATGTCAGGACAACGAGGGGAAAGAGTAAATGACTGGGACTGGTGGCACATGCCTGTAATCCCAGCTGCTCCGGAGGCTGAGGCAGGAAGATGGTGAGTTCAAAGCCAGCCTCAGCAAAAGCAAGGCACTAAGTAACTCAGTGAGACCCTGTCTCTAAATAAAATACAAAATAGGGCTGGGGGAGTGCCCCTGAGCTCAACCCGCAGTTACTCCCCTCCCCCAAAAAAGAGTAAATGGCCAACATAGACCATTAAGGTGTTTGGAGCCAACATTCAAATGGTTGGGATTTGATTCTTGCTCTTTGAAAAGGGCTAATGGAAGAGTAAAAGGTAATTTCCTTTCATGGCAAGTAGACCAACAGACCAACAGAGCTGGAGGCCATACTATGACTCCCTTTGTCCAGTCCCCTGGTTTTTAAAATAAGGAAACTGAAGCCAACATAGGTCTGATGGTTTACCTAAGATCATTCTCACAGTTGGAGGTAAAGATGAACTTTCAGGCTTTTTGATATCTAGCGTAGTTTCATTTTCATCTTTTCTCTAAAACTTTGGAAGGAAAAATATTCCAAACTGTTCATGTTATAAAAAGATTTTTTTTTTTTCTTTGACCAGAGTGAAGGTGAGGGCGTCCGTCAGTTCAATATCTTATTTCTAAACTTCGATATTGATTTAATTCTTACAAAGTCTCGGTGTATATTTAGTTGAACCATACAAAATTGCTGTTATTTGTTTTGGTTCACAAAAATGGCAATTCCATGTGGCTAATTTTAATATTCTTAAAAGACTATCAAAAAGCATCTTAAGAGATGATTTTTTAGCTCTCTTTCTCTGGTAACATTTGTTTTTGGCTTCCTCTTATGATATATTTAAGTAAAAGTTTTGTCTTTCTATCTACACTACAAAATCTCTGGGGTTAGAAAGGTTTTTATGCATAGTGATATTCTGTGTATTTTGTATTTGGTCAGATATCTGCTACATGAAAAAAACCTGAGATGCTTCAAAAGGTGAAACTTGTGAGTGACACTTGGCTATTTTAAGTAATATAATCTTACTTGTCGAATTCATAAAGAACCCAAGGAAAAGAGAGCAACATCCATTATGCATTATGGATGTTCTTATGAGTTTGCCAAGACAGCAAATGTAAGAATCATCAAACAGAGGAAAAATATTACAAAATTATCCTGTTCCTGGGTGCTCAGATTATAATAATGATGTGAACGAGGCAGAAAAGCCACAACTTGGAAGACTCTGGAGAAAAATGTGTCTCTTGTAAATGAATTTTCCCAGAAGATTTCGCTACTTAATGTCCCAGGATAACCAACCTCATCATACGTGTCTCTGGGGCTAATGAGTTACCTCAGCATGTCATAAGGACAAAAGGGAGACGAGCCAAATTGCTAACGGAAAACTTCTCCACTTTTGCAAATTGCAAATTATTCTTCAATAATAAAAAGTATTTACAATAAGAACTTTGACTCCTTGAGCACCTATTACATACCTATTACTACCATCTTGTATGTATTAAGCCACCAAAGCTCAGAAAAGTTGAGTGAATGTTCCCTGTCACAAGGGTACAAAGTGGCAAGGCTAGGACTTAACTCCAGAAGCTCTCAGGGCCATGCTCTTAACCACAGAGACCTGATACCAAAAAAGCAAATAAATAGGGCAGTCGTTCTTACCACAAGTCTCAGAAATGTTTAGAGACCAAAAGAAAGAGAACATTCCAGCAGTGTACTCTGCCTGTGCTGCTGTTCCTTCTCATGGTGCTTACTTAACCTGAGAACGAAAACAGTCACACAGAACTTTCCTGATAAGCAGAAATGGATTAGCATCCCCATCCTGCTGACATGCCTTGTGGTTCTAATCCTTGTAATTCTTATAATAAAGAAAGAACATCCTCAAGGTAATGCTGAGGATTTACAGGGTCCTCTAATGAGTTTTCTTATACCCACGCTTACCTGATGACACCAAACCCCAATGTTTCACAATGCAGAGAGAAGGAAAAGTGTTTACAATCACAGAATGTTATTGTCCTCGAACCAGAATATGGCTGTTTTGCCAAGCATTGGTTTCAGGAAATCTGAGACCCTGAGATGATTTGTTTCTCCTCCTCCTCCTCCTTCTCCTCCTCCTTCTCCTCTCCTCCCTGTCCCCCTCCTTCTCCCTTCCTCCCCATCTCCTCTTCCTCCCTCCCTCTTCCTGCTCCTCCTCCCCCGCCCCTCCTCTTTCTTCTTCTTCTTCTTCTTTTTTTTTTTTCAGTGATGGGGATTGAACTTAGGGCCTCAAGAATGCTAACAGTACACTCTATTCCCAAACTATACCCCTAGTGCTTAAATTATTATTATTATTATTTTTTAAAATTTTGTTTCGAGTCAGGGTCTCACTAGGTTTTCCAGTTTGGCCTTGTCCGCCTGTCTCAGACTACCAAGTAACTGGGATTATAGGTGTGCACAATCATGCCCAGCTTTGGGAAAATTTTAGTTCAATTATTCCTTCAATACACTTGAAGATGCTGAGAATCTTGGCACTCACTAATAATCAAGACCAAAAGTCTGTCTCCTGAATTTTTTATATTGTACCTTTCTTATAAGAAAACCAATTTCCAAAATGTCCTTTTAAATCAACATCAAATTAAACACTTAGAAAGAAATAGATTGTTTTAAAATATCGAAGATTAAATGCCAAGGATCATTAGCATTTTACCAAAAGACTTTAATTCTTAGGCAATTGTTTATTTTTTTTTAATCCCCAAAGTTGAATGTGTTCATATTGAAGATCATCTAGAAACATATACAGCCCTGTGAAAATGATGTACCAAATAGCTGGAGACTATTTGTTTTAATTCTTTTATTTTTTTTAATTATTTATTTTTGCATTACAATTCTTAATACACCATTATATCATAATTTATCATATCTCTGATTATATGCAAGGTATGTTGACACCAAATTCACATCTTCATACATGTGTTTTGTAAAGTGATGAGGGTCTCCTTAATTATTTTCAATAGGTAAAAATTTAAATGAATTTTCTGTTTTGTAGGTCTGATCCTGGTTCTGCCCTGCATAGATGTGTTTGTTAAAGTTGATCTCCGAACAGTTACTTGCAACATTCCTCCACAAGAGGTAAAAGATTATAGATGTGTTACTAGAAATAAAACCTACATCTCCATTATATGTATGTTTTTGAACAATAAGAGGAGGATAAACTGAATCCCCAGGGACCTGCTCTGAGTGCTGTTGTTGGCTCCTAAAACTTCTTGGCTTTGTTTTGCCAAAGGAGTCCAGGGCAAGAGCTCAAATACTAGAAGACATGAGGGCTCAAATACTTGAAACACTAAATGACCTGGAACAACTTATATTACATGCATGTAGGAATATGTCAAAATAAACCCCACAATTATATATAAGTATATTGCACTGATAAAAACAGTAGAAAATACTAGAAGACTCGGGATGACCAGATAAAAGAAAGTCTGAGAGAAGACAGTTGGCAGGGAAGCTGGGGTGGAGAATGACTCAACAGATGCTTGAGAGAGACAGATAACTCACCATACAAAGAGCTGAAGATAATGGAGGCAGAGAGCAGTGTTTGGTTATTTTATGATCCTTGCCATCATCATCTTTTAGCAGTTGATAGACATGATAACTTTATTTATTTGTTTTTATGTGGTGCTGAGGATTGAACCCAGTGCCTCCCACCTGCTAAGCAAGCACTCTGCCACAGAGCCACAATCCCAGCTCCATTTTCTAAGATTTTTAAAGTAATACCTGTATTAATCACCTTTGCTTTTTTTTTTTCTACTGGGGAATGAACTCTGGGGCACTTAACAACTCACCCCTGAAAGCGGGTCTCACTGAGTTGCTTAGGGCCTTAATAAATTGCTGAGGCTACCTTTGAACTCATGATCCTTCTGCCGCAGCCTCCGGAGCTGCTGGGATTATAGGCATGCACCGCTGTGCTCAGCTCACCTTTGTGTTTGACCTTAAGTTGGTTTTTGTTTGGATGCAACAGAGCAGACAAGTGTGGAGACAGGGCAGAGGTTGTGAAGGGCTTACCTGTATTTGGATTTCAAATGATTCTTGAAATACTATAGTGAATGACCAAAACCAATAACTGGATACTAGCAAAGACCGAGTTACTAATGATTAATTTGCTTTCTCATAACCAAAGTGAACTGTTGGAGAGGGGGAAATAACTGTGAGTAGATCTACAATGGGAGAAGGACTTAGGGGGAGGGCAGAGATAATGAGAAGATAGGACACTCAATCAAGACTCAAAAAATAACATCTCCAGGGCCTCTGTCAGGAACCTCAGGACTGAGTGCAGAATTCAGCTCCATCACAGCACCTGGAATGCTTGCTGACCTAGAGGAGAAATTTTCTGGCTTTATTCTGGACAGTTGTGGCCTCTGTGTTCCATGATCCACGCAGAAATCACTCATTTGCTCCAAAATACCCTGTCACATTATTCAGATTGATGAATGCTGAGCTTCTCTACAAATCTGAATCAGTTGTGCTTTACTTGAATATAGAACACGGTCTCTGGTGCCATCTATGTTTTCTAAGCAGTATTGCTTCATCACATCTGAAAACTGAAAACCAAGTAGATCACAGGTATCAGGAAACAAGTGCTCTCCATCTACTTAGAAATAGAAGATGATAGAATTCCAAAAGGGTTCTACTAATCCTTAAAATGGGGGTCTCTATTCTTACCTTGGCAAGTCAAGAGCTTCTGCCTATGGGATGTAAATGTTCTCTAAAATGAAGTTACAGGGGTCGATAGGGACCAAATCTGGGTTGAAATGTTGTTACTGAGTAGGATGAGGTTATATTCAACCCAGGACAGGATTTGGTGACTATTGGCATGAACTGTAATTAACACTTTCTTGTGAAGAAGGGCTTTAGGGGTTGGCTATCACTCTTTCCATTGCTGTGATCTTGCCTTGTTTTTTCTCTATAGATCCTCACCAGAGACTCTGTGACTACTCAGGTGGATGGAGTTGTCTACTACAGAATCTACAGTGCTGTCTCAGCAGTGGCTAATGTCAACGACGTTCACCAAGCCACGTTTCTGCTGGCTCAGACCACTCTGAGAAATGTCTTAGGGACACAGACCTTGTCTCAGATCTTAGCAGGGCGAGAAGAGATTGCCCACAGCATCCAGGTGAGGACTCCAAGAACTAATACCCTGCACCATAGTTAATTTTTCCTAATTATCAGAGACTATCGATGTACCCCCTCAATGTGTGTTAACACACACCACACACACACACACACACACACACCACACAGAGCTATGCTAGAGAGGTGGGGTTCTATTGGTGATTTTGTTTACTTATTACAAGGCATAGACTTAAATATCTGGGTGGGAGAAAGGAGCTATGAGAATTGTACCCCTTTCCCCCTTTCTTTGGAATTCACAATCACAGATTAACGTTGTACCTTTTATGAGAAGGTTAGAGACCAGACTTATTTTCAGTTTAGATTACTCCAGAGGAAGTATAGCCATTTCCCAGGCAGCCCCTATATTCCTACATTTTAGTGGGGTGTGGAAGTCAGAAGAGGATTAATCTGAGACAGCAGAGATATGCCTTGTCTGAAAAGATTTACATCATGGCACCAATATCAATAACAAGATTAATGATACTGATCATCATCATTATTGTAATAATGATAATAGGGACTTCATTTTTAAAGGAATGGTAGAACGCTTCTGGAATCCTACCATCTTTAATTTCTAAATAGATATAGAACACTTGTTTTCCTGATACCTGTAATCCAGATTGCAGGTAGCAAGATGGAGCAGGTATGACCTCATTTCTTGTATATTCTAGTTTATAAATTACATTTCTGTATTTTTTTAACTTGGTTGCATTTTGATTCTCAGCTTTCTTTCTGTAAGTTAGGACTTGGGTCATTCTTAGCCTCTTGTGCCAAGACCTCATGGTTTTATGAGGTGATGACAATTCTGCATGACAGGTCCCCATCTCCTTTCTAAGAACCTGCTGAGTTTGACAACTCAAATGTTTCCCATTTAAAGCCAGGTCACTAGCTTCTCGTGAGGTCTCATCAACTCTCGGTGTCCTTCAGAACCCACAGAAGGGAAAGGCACTCTTGTCCTTTCTTCCCCAGGACAACCAGTTAGATGTCTTTCAGAGTTTTAAGGTTTTACAAAGGACAAGAATATCTTTACTGTAAGCTTCTTTAAAAATGCACCCTAAAAATATGTCCTACTTTAAAAAAAAAAAAAGAAAACACATCTTGTTACTTGTTTAAAACTGGTCATCAGAGAGGGATTAAAGAGAGTAAGATAAATAATAGCTTGAAAAGTACCCAATAATAATATCCACTGAGTCATTGCTAAGTATTGATAGATACTTCATATGTATTATCTCAAAGCCTCACACGAATCCTCATGACAGTCCAGACAGGGACTGTTCATAGGTGAGAAAACTGAGAATCAGAGAGGTTAAGAAGCTAGTCCTGTGATTCATAGCTGCAAATGGCAGAGCCAGGACAAAATTCAAGCCTCTCTGAAAAGCTCACCCATTGCTGTCTGCTTGATATCAGTGACAGCGGATCTGAGGCATTGTTCCCAATCCCCATCATATACTGATATCATACGCTGATGTCCTGCGGGATGGTTGTGGGGTGGGTCCTTCTGGTAGACAACTCACTGAATTTATTAGGATTTGTTCATGAAGCCTTCAAGGGATTCACTTCAATTCCAAGAAGGGATCCATAGGTTTGGGAAGAATTACCTTCCCAAAACATACCAGAAACTTAACATCAAGTCACCTGTCTTCTGATCAGTTTCTTTTCTTTTGATTGGCAAACAGACCTTGCTTGATGATGCCACGGAGCTGTGGGGGATCCGGGTGGCCCGAGTGGAAATCAAAGATGTCCGGATTCCTGTGCAGTTGCAGAGATCCATGGCTGCTGAGGCCGAGGCCACACGGGAAGCCAGGGCCAGGGTAAGGGCCACTCCATGTACATGACGAGGGGAGGCTCCTGGTGCTGGGGCAGACAAAGATGGAGCTGAACAGAAGATCAGGGTTGCTCTGTTATTTTTAAAGAAAGGCTTTGTTCACAGATTTAATGAGAATTTCTTTCGATCTGAAGGTAATGAGCATAGCAACAGGTCAAGAGGATGCTCAGCAACATGTTGAACAATTAGCAATGTGGGGCCCAATGCTGGCTGCACCCCAGAGTCTCCTAGAGAACGTAGCAAAACACTTCAGCTCCAGTGAAGCAGAATCTGGGCCGGGTTCAGGGACCAGCCTTTGTATAAAGCTGGTGTTTCAGATGTAGCCAGCGTGTTGCCTGTCTTGTGAACACCATTGTTTTGGTGTGTTTCATGATACTGGATTCAAAGGGAGTAATCAAACACAACCCAGGTTAGAATTACTAAATGTAACTCCACTCTTTCCCCCGAATGTCCTTGAATCGGTTGGATCTGTAGTCTTTGTGTTGTTGGATTTCCTGAAGCATCAGAAACCAAGTGAAATCAGAAACCTTCAAGCACCCTCATGGGAATCTTACTTGTGAGCTGACGAAGGTTGTTTTCTCTGTCCTTATCCATCCCGTACTTTGGTTTAATCTGCTGAGTTTCAGCAGCTTCCTAGCAGAGACTTGGCAACGATGGACAAGACATCACTCTCCCACGGATAGCGGGTACCCACCCTGGGGGTGATTAAGCTTGGCCAAGTTGTTCTTGGGCAGTCTGAGAACTAGGAAAGCAGAGTATGAAGAGAGTCCCAGGCTGGCACTTTTTACTACTTGTAATCAAGAGCTCAGAGAACTGAGAACAATTCCTGAATTGTAAGAATGAGACTAGGTTGGCAATAGAATGAAATAACAACATCTTGTATGATAAGTGAAAAACAGCAAAAACCTGGTTGGAGCCCTTGAATTTTAGGCTTCTCTAAAAATGAATGCAATAGGCAGTGAGGCCCCTACAGGCTTTAAGAGCATTCCTAGGATGGATGGCCAAGTATTTATTTGTGTTAAAGAGAGGGCTTTCATTTTTGTTTGAAAATGAAATCTAGGTAGTCATAGTTTGTAAAACATCTATTCTGACACTGTGCAACCTCCTCCTCAATTTCTCCATTCATCATAGGATGTGACACTCTAATCCTACCCAAAAGCAAAGGAAACATGTATGGCAAAGCAGGGGGCTGGGCGACATATATCAGCACAGACCCAGAAAACGAAAACTCTAGTCACATTTGTAAATGTTTATTTCTGTCATTTTAGGTCCTAGCAGCAGAAGGGGAAATGAATGCTTCTAAATCTCTGAAGTCAGCCTCTATGGTGTTGGCCGAGTCCCCCATAGCCCTTCAGCTGCGTTACCTGCAGACCTTAACCACTGTAGCCACCGAGAAGAATTCCACCATTGTATTTCCTCTGCCCATGAACATACTGGAGGGCATTGGTGGTATCAGCTATGACAATAACCACAAGAAGGTTAATGACAGAGCCTGAGGTCCTCCTGAGGTAGCCAGTCCATTGCTTAGAGAGTTCTTTGAATCCTGTGGGGGAAGCCAGCAGTTAGAGGCAGTGAAAATTATAGCATTATTCATGCCACAGTCACTCCAGAGCTGGAATAATTAGAAGGGAAAATGTGTAGGGGCTATTAAAAAAAATAAAAAGGAAAATGAGGGTTGTATATTAGTAATAAAACATAAGCAACTTTGCAACATTCTTATATTATTAGTTAATAGTCATTCTGAGTTATAGCAGGAACTTTCTCACAGTAGGGAAGGAAATCATTGGTTACTGTGACCAAGATGCAAAATTACTTTCTAATTGTTTTAAAAAGAAGTACTCTAGATCACTTGTAAAGTAAAACAAGTCTCATGTGCATACCATGTCTAAAGTAATTACTTGCTATATCTCTGATAGTTGCAGGAAAACCCCTCAATGCTAAAAATTATGATTGACTTTGATATTAAAGATAAAAAACATTGGCTGCAAATACGGCCTGGCCCCACAGGACAAATTGCACTCAGCTCAGGGCACCAGATCTGTTGCTGCAATGCAGGTCCTGCTGGGAGTGTTGGCCAATCCCTAGCCTCCCAGCACAGTTGTCAGAGGGCCGAAGAAGACCCAGTTAGGTGGACCCTCCTGTCAATCATTTGCTTTCAAGTGAGATGGCTTATAAAAGGCTTCAGAGGTGGAACCGCTGGAGAGCTTGTCCTTTGAAGTTCATGTTTCCATTCTGCTGTTAGTCTCAAGAGTCACTCATACCCCAGAATTATTGGCAAACTACACCATTCCCCCTTCACCAAAGAACCTGCTACAAATAAAGAAGTCATAGCATGTGAATATACTTAAAAACAATGCTTTGTTGGAGGTTATTTTGCTGTCAAGGTGTAATTTTCTTTGGGGATGAGGTTTGAGAAATGGGCTACAATTTTTTTTATTTTATTTTTTTACAGATTCATTTGTTATTTTCCTACAGCAGTGCATATTCATACACACAGGTACAACTTCACAACTTGGGTATAAACAGGAAAAGTTTTATTTTTTAAAAATTTTTTTTTGAATTTTTAATATTTATTTTAGTTTTCGGGGGACACAACATCTTTGTTTGTATGTGGTGCTGAGGATTGAACGCGGGCCACACCCATGCCAGGCGAGCGCGCTACTGCTTGAGCCACATCCCCAGCCCCAACAGGAAAAGTTTTAAATGTTCCTTTTTATTGACCACTTTGTGTTACACTGAATTCTGCCCTTTGGGGCTGCCAAGAAATATCTTTATTTTACAGAGGAGAAAGTGATGTTAAGAGGTTAAAAATCACTTGTCCAGGGACCCTCAGTCAGTGAACGTTGGACCAGAATTTTTAAAAATCCAGGTCTCAATTGAAAGTCTTGGCTCTTACACATCATCGGGTTTTACTTGGGGAAGTGGGGTGAGGGATAGAGGCCTCCAATTCCCTTTCTTGCCTTTAATACCAAACTTCTAGGTTCTGGAAGTGCAGTCACCACTGCAGTACCCTGGACTACACATGCATGTGTACAAACACAACTTCCGTGGTGCTTCACTGTCTTTTTCACACTCTACACCCTCCCTATAACCTCTGGCCCTCACTTTCCTGCTCCCATCACTTCCCCAGCCTCTCCTCATTCAGATCCTGTCAGGACCCAGGCACTAACTGCATATGAATGCAAAATGAGGATCATACTCCACCTTTGGTTTCATAACTTATGTTTTATTTTTCTCCAAACGATATGATATTTGGATAATCCTCATTTTCTGAATCTTGTAGTTGATCCTCTTGGCTGTGAATCCAACACTCATTCTTCACTCACTGAGGTTAGTATTTTTTTTCTTCTAGACTCATTACTTGCATTGTAACAGGAGTTGAGAACTTAAGTGCATAGGCAAGAATCTAAGGTGGGTCACCCACATCAGCCAGAATCCAAGTCCATAGAGTTATGAATCTTGTCTTAGTTGACTTTAGCATTGCTGCGACCAAAATACCTGACATGAACTACTTAGAATAGGGAAAGTTTATTTGGGGATCACTGCTTCAGAGGTCTCAGTCCATAAATAGCTGACTCTATTGCCCTGGGCCCAAGGTCAGGCAGCCATGCCCCACCTGCATAAAGTTACCACCCAGTGAGTCCATTCAAAGTAGGACAGATTATAGCTTTCATAATCAAATCATTTTACTTCTGAATATTCCTGCATTAACAGGAGCTTTTGGGGGACACCTCATAGCTAAACTACCTAAACATTGCCTAAACACTTAATTGGTGCCCCTACAACTAAAGAACAATGGTGCAGACCCTGAGAGCCAGCTGAGGGGGTGGGGATCCTATTTATACAACAAAATTTTGCTGGTCCTTGTAAATGTCTCTTCTTAGTCTTGTTCCATAGATAAGTTGTTGCTCCTTTTTCGGCTTCAGTGATTTACATTGAAATGCAAATCTTTGCTGACGATGTACAGAAAATTGTAAATTAGTGGTTCTTGGTGGAGATAAACAACATTTTTTCACTCACTGGAACTTCTTTTTCAAAACCCACAACCAGTAAACACACACACACACACACAGATACACCCCCCCCCCCCGCCCCCCAAACAAATAATGCCCAGTCTGTTTGCATCTCACGTACATTGAGATGGGGTTTGGAGCATGAGAGCTATATCAGAATATTTGGAGCAGTGACAGATGTAGCTCAAAAACTTCCTAGAAAATTCAAGTCACTCCATCCTTTCCAACATCAAGCCTTATTAGTTCTTTAGTGCATTTTTCAACAGATGAGTTGTTATATTACTAAAGGCTGACTGAAGAAGCGTCCCCTGAAAGTTAGTATATTTGGGGACCATGGCTTATAGAAAAACCAGAAAAGGCAGAGGTCTTGGAATGTGAATGCCAAGGATGATGTTCAAAACAGTCACCTCCTCACTGCCACCCACAGAATAAGGCTAAAATCCTTTTCCTCTGGAGGTTGGGGCAAGGCCAGGAGGGAAAATAGTAGATTGTAAGGGTAAAAGAAATTGAAGTTAAAGCGTAAAAGTTAAAGGGTAAAAGACCGGGTGTTGTAAAGTTTCTAAGCTGCAAGGTCTGAGTTAAAATGTAAAGGATTAGGTATTGTTAGGTATCTATGCTACCTGCAAAACCTGAAATTTCTGTAGCTGTTGAGACAATGCTTGGAACTGCCCAGTAAATATTTCCCCTGACTATTGGTTGTTTAATAAGGGCTCTGTGTGGTCGCACGTAGGCATTGCAGGGCCTGGACCAATCAGTTTAAATGTAACCCCCTCCTTAGGAATGACCTATCACTCCAGCCTGACCTGTTCCCGCCAATGAATGAACCAATCATGTTTAGGAGTTGTTATTCAATTTTCCCGCGCCTAATGATGATTTGTTCTGATGTATACAAAGCCCTCCGCCCTCCCCAAAAACTGTACTTAAGCAGTGCTCAGCCCCTGCTCGGGGCTCTGGGCTGCTTTCCCTTCTTGAGTGGGCACAGAGCCCCAGCATGCTGGTTCAATAAATCCCCTTTTGCCAATTGCATGAGTGGTCACTTGGTGGTCTCTTTCTCCGACATTTCGCGGGATCCTTACAGATGACCCTCTTAGAGAGAGAAAAGTGGCTACTCCTAGTAATGCAACTGTGGAACCCAAAGTCATTCCATCAGTATTGAAGTTAGTGCAGATAAGCTCCCTCAGTTGTTTCCTGTTTTGACAGCAGGGATGGCTGGGCCCTGGCTGCAATGCTGAAGCGGGTTTGAGGCCCCAGGACTCACAGAGCTAGAGGGAAATAGCAGGGCTTTCTTAGTCTCTCTGGGCTGCCTCAATACCATAAACAGGTGGCTTATAAACAACAGAAATTCATTTCTCATAATTCTGGAGGCTAGAAAGTATAAGATAAATACAAGAGTTTGATGAGGCCCTATTATCTGGTTCATAGATGGTGCCTTGTCCCTCTGTCTTCACATGGTGGAAGGAATAAAGCACCCCTCTGGGTGTCTTATATAAAAGCACCAATGATAATAAAGGCTCTGCCTGTGTGGTCTAATCGAAGGTCCCAGCTGCTACTACCATCACCTTGAGGGTTAGGATTTAAAGATCTGAATTCTAAGGTGGCATGGATATTCAGAACACACACACACACACACACACACACTACTTACCAATTGAATGTCATTTGTGATAAATGTTCACTTCAAGGGGACCTGAGCTTCCAGAAGACAATGGAAGGTCACTGAGGAACTGTGATGAGGCAGAGGTTACAGAAAAAGTTCTCTGGACTAGGAGCAGCGTTGATCAAATCTGGGAAAAAACCTTGGCTGTCACCCAATCCAGCCATTATTTTTAAAGCCTTGAAGCAGACATTATGGGCAAATTTAAAGCCAATATCTGCAATCAATAAACATGGAGCTGCTCTGGCTGTAGTAGGGATGAAGGGCCCGGGGCTCCATCTACCACCCCATTCTCCTATTCCCAGTTCCCCTTCACAGTGGTCAATTTGAAAACCTCTTGAATCACAGCTTGTGACACAATAGGAGATAAACAGCCAGAGAAGTGAAAGGACAACCCGAGGTTACAGGGACAAGAGGCAGCAGCTATTGATGCCACCAGTTACTGGTGATGAGTCCTGCTCCCTCATGTGTTAAAGTCTGAACATTAGAGAAGCACGCCAAGCGAGGCAAGCATATAAATCAGGGTTTATTTAAAAAGGGGTGATACAGACTTCTCCTGGGAGGGTGTCCTGGTATCCCAAGAAGCAAGGTGTTCTGCCCTTTTTGTATGTTCTAGGTTTCCTTCATTCTCTTGCCCTCTTCCCCTAATCTCTCTCCTTCTGTGACTAGGCATCTGACTAGACCTAGGATATGCTCCGTGGGATGGCCAAAAGGTTGGGGGGGAAGGGGGAAGGGCAGGAAGGAGCAGCCAAGGACACATTAATTAACAACCTTTTAGCTCCGTGTAGGGAGGGGCAATTCCTGGACGGGTTACCTTGGCCACAGGTTGGATCTGGGGCAGGTTCTCCATAAGGGTGGAGGAAGGGCTCTGAAGGAATTAACATTTCAATCCCTCTGGGGGAC